GTTCAATTTAAAGCAGTCCATAAAAACACAAAGATGAGCACAAAACACAGAATCATGGCAAATATCAACTGAATAATTAGAAAAAAAAATCTATAAATATATATAAAATTATTAAGCAAAAATAAAACTTTTTTGGGATTATGGATATAAACTAGTGCTTTCAGCGTTAATCTCGTTAAAACGACGTTAGCGCCATAACTGCATTAACGCACCAAATCTCCGTTAGTGAGTTAGCGCATGTGTGCCCAAGAGTGTGGGGCTGCACTGTGCTAACGTGTTAGCATGGTTAGCTCGCTAACGTGGCGTTAATGTCATTTTGACGAGATTAACGCTGACAGCACTAATATAAACCCATTTTAGGTTTACATTTCTCAAGTTTCACTACTGCTTGGTTAGTAATATGTTGGCATCAAGATGGTATCATCCATCCAAACTACAAGCGACTGCAGCAGTCTGCTAGCAAACAGAGAAATCACAAAGAGGTTTTTGGTGAAGCATCCTGTTTGCACCCAGTTTCATTCAGCTGCAGCGGGCAAACTCCAGCAACCACTCGGTTAATGCACATTTTTGTCTAGCAACCAGATGTTAATAAGTGGTTGCTGAGTGGTCTCCAAGCCTTTGTGACTGATGCCTTAGCTTGACTTGTCCTGCTAACTAACTAATCAACACTATGCTTAATTAGTGTAGATGGACCCTCTGGGCTAAGATTTCCCCTTTGACATCTGGTAACCATTAATAGGTAAACCAAAACAAACAGTTACTTTATCTATTCTACTTGTCAGAGAAGTCAAGTAAAGAAGCAATCTGATGTGCAGAAATAGTGGAAACCCTTTACAAACGAGCCCCGAACTTAACTGCAAAAAATCAAACCTTTACTATGTGTTTTGGATTTTCTGTTCTGATGAGTTTATTTACATGCTTCTAATAAAGGAAAAAAAAAATTGTTCCCCTGCAGGGATCAATAAAGATGTCCTTATCTTTATCACAAAAACCGTTCAGATTTCTGATAAAATGTAGCTGCAGGGTGCTCACAAACAGCAGATTTCAATCTACACAAAGTGAAGAAGTAAAGTCTTCACTACACTTGTAGCACACAGAACAACTTTATGGCTTGACCAACACGATAAGGTCATCAGGGTTATCAGATGACGACCATAATGAGGCTACAAGCTGAAACGCGCTAGTCAAGCAATACAATATGCATAAAATATGCATAAAATACAAGTGTTGTTGTTTTGACCACTCCAGACTTTCTCCTCTCCTCCATGCACTATTTGCATTTGTAAATTGTGCAAGATAAATCACTCTGTGATTCTCTGGTGTCAGTCATAGGCAAGAACTATGGTTGCATTAACATTACAAGATCGCTTGTACAACTGGGATTCTGCTTAAACAAAGACTAAATATGGTACACCAGACACACAAATAATTTGGTTACAGACAGTTTAAGATGACAGTTTGAAACAACACTGCACAGGCTTTCGGCGGGTCGTGGTCCAGACAGCAGGGTCCACTGTGTTTTAATAATGTAAACTGTGTTCACAGTAAGCTCTTTGGCTGAAAATAGAAGTTTTATAGGAGGTGTTTTATGGCATAAAGGGTGTGCACTGGGCTCCTATAGACTACAAGGTCAGTTTTATAGGTTTAGGCTGTCTGACTTGGTGGTTCTTGAGCCAAGTTTCTTAATTTGAGTGAAACCGGGCCACAGTTACACAACTTGTCTAATTCCTTCCCTTCTGGGTAATCATCAGTTTAAGCGGGCCCAGATGTGGGACTCAGACTGTGGAGAGTGATCCACTCTGCAGGAAATGTACATTATGCATAGTATTAGAAAAAAAAACAAAACCTCAGACTAGTGCTAAAATAATGAAAGAATAATGAAAGAATAAGCCAATTATCAATGACTTTTAACAATTAAACTTTGCAAATCCAACTGCATTACTTCTTTCTTTTCTGTTTCGGTTCCTATTAAGGTCTTGCTCTTTAAGAGCCTCAATATCATACTGTGCTGCTGTCATCTGAGGATTCTTTTCTACCTTAAAATAAATGTGATTCTTTGAAGCAGTGACCTGGCATAGCTTCTACTGTGAGCTGGATATCCATTTTGAAGGCTTTATGACCAGATCCAGGCAAAAACGTTGGGGTACGGCAGACAACAGTTTCAGTTCTCATACGTGTTTTTTCTGCAAATCTTTCTGCAAAAGTTGCAAATCCATTGCTATCCTAGATATCCTAGAAATATCACAGATATTAAAAAATAAATAAATCATATAATACATATTATGCATTTATCTTAAGGGTGGCTGTAGCTCAGGAGGTAGAGCAGGTCACCTACTGATCGGAAGGTTGGTGGTTTGATCCCTGACTCCTCCAGTCTGCATGTCAAGTATCCTTGGGCAAGATACTAACCCCACGTTGCTCTCTGACGTGCTCATTGGAGTATGAAAGATGTGTGAATGTAGTTAGAAAGCACTAAGTATAGTGAAAGTGCTTGTGAGAATGGGTGTGATTGGGTGAATGTGGCATGTTGTATAGAGCGCTTTGAGTACTCCAGAAGGGTAGAAAAGCGCTAAATAAGAATCAGTTCATTTACCATCACAGTAGCATGAGTTTTTATTTGAC